TTCGGGTTTAGTGTAAGGGTTTAGGAAAGAATGACATGATGGGCTTGCTTGGGGCGGGGAAGCCTTTTACTAGGGTGCTGCAGAAGGGGGTGCCCTTGGTAAAGCCCTGATTTCTTATGCATCTCCGTGATGACATATTGTTGGGGATGTGTGACATGATGTGGAAGGCAGCCTGCGCTGCAATGGTTTTGAGTCGCCTTTTTGGCATGACAGGTTTGCAACAGACGGGAGCGTGGACTTGCAGCCCTTCTCACCAACTTTCAGTGTAAAACAGACATCCCCTCTCGGTCCCGGTGCAAGACTTTACTTAGCAAAGTGGTGGATGTCCTTCACTCTGCATACATGGTTATTTCCCAAAAGCGGGGGACCCTAATAGACTCTTATATACTGTTATTCTTACTACAGGTATCCCCAAAAGGTACCCCTGATCTTGGAAACCCCCCACAACAGCGGAACTCCAACGGATCAAGCTTTGAGCTTGCTGCAAGATTGCTGAAGGAAAGGCCCTCTCCTTTCAGGGCACCCCAGTTCCCAGTTGGGGGTTTCGCAAGATGGAGGCGTCTGAAGAAACCTAGGGACATCGCGGGATTGGATTTCCCTGCTCAAAACTGAAAGGGAGGGATGCTGTAGTCTACTTGTCGATAATGCTTCGTTCCAGCTCTTCTTCTTAAGGGCACAAGGGAACCGGCTGCGGCTTAGATCACCTGAGCTGCTCCCCCGATTCAAAACCAAGGTTTGAAGTGCGTTGCATTAACTCACATGTGCAGCTGAGAGCGTGAGTAAGAATAAGTCTTTGAGAAACCCCACCTAAGGAGAGGTGTCATAAACCTCTTCGGCCAGTGGGCGCCTGGCAAGCCACGCAGTGGTGCTGCAAGTGCAGAGTACAAAGGCCTGTTGGGAGCGGTGAGCCTGCGCACATACCCATTACGCAGTGGGACACCATAGCGGTACCTCAAAGGGGGGGCTCACATTCCCTTTGAACTAACCAATGAAACTTACCCGAGATGCTGTTGTGGAGACAGAATCTTGATGAAATTTACCCAGGAATTACTTTGACGGGTGATCATTGAAAGACATGGTAAAGGAAAAGTTCCAGAGAAGCCTCCCCAATTTCGCCGTGCTGTTTGATTCTAGGTCCCTGTCCGTTCTTCGCCTAGAGATGTAAGTTCTGGGCAAGCAACTTTTTTGTCGGGTCTCCAGAGAGGCGAAGATGTAGACATGCACTGCTCAGCGACCGTGTCAGACAGACTACATCACATGTATCCGCCCTGGCAAATCTTTGCAAAGATGTCTAGGCGGCCCTGAACCCTAAACCCTATGCAGCTTGGGCTGGAGGATTCATCCTGCTGGGTTTGGGCTGCCAACATGCTTGAATCTCAAAAGCTGATGAAAGCAAGACAAGTATAGCTGTTTATGGCAGAAAGCTTTGCTCTTGCCTGTGCTTGGAACACCCCCAGTTTAATTTAGGGTGACCTTCTCTGGGGTCCTCCATATGTAATAAGGATAGTATCCAAGGGTCCATATTGGGGTCTCCCTACTTTGGGAAACTGCCGTATAACAGCAGTATGAAGCAACATGACAGACTCAAAGTATTGCAATGATATGGTCCCTTTAGAACCCCTGTTCGTGACCCTATACAAGCCCTATAATCTGGGTACTGCCCCCCCTCAGTAA